AAGGTTGGTTGTATTCCCCAGAGGTTTACAAGAAAACCCATTTTGAAGGTTTAGCCCGAGAAATCGCATCAATGACATCATAATGACACAAAAAGTTGTTGTTATGATTCAATTTTTACAAAAACAGCATCCTCTGAAAATTTGGAGGCCCTGCGATCATCATCAACCGTCGTCCCTGGCGGGCGGGATTAGTTGCTGCACAACTGTATTCCACAGGGATCTGTCAACGATGGTTGACTTTAGATCTCCTATAAGTAGTTGTTGAGTTACAGGGCCAGGCGTCAACCCCACCCCACCCCCGCCCCTCCGTCCCAGCATGTTAGAATAAATGACCGATCTGAATTAGTTGAAAACTTAAGTAGCTGACTTTGAACCCTTTTTCCTTACATACTTTCCAACCTCACAAGTCATCTGGCTGGTTCTGGTCACGGTCGACTGGTTACGTCATGTGGGACGACACTGACTGCTTCAAAAATAAGAGATTTATCTGCCAGCATCCTCCAGCCTAATTGGAGAAACTTCAATTCTGCCTACCATTGCAGCATACGAAATTCTACAAAACATGTATTTAAATATTTGGCGTAGCAAGGGGTAGAGAAAGGATGAATTATGGCTTTAATGGTTGACGCCATGCTATGAAAATGGCACCCGTTGGACCCACGTTGATCACATTATGTTAAGATTATAAACAGTAGACTTACATGTACATACAATACTGCACATACATACATACAATGTTGCACAAACATAAAAAGTGCATATTGGCCCATGCATGAGCGAGCTGAGTCTTTTAAAGATCTTGTGAAGATCCAAGTAAGGGTCTGCAAAATCATCCTGGGGTCACACTATTCCAGTTACAACACAGCACTTACTACATTGAACCTCAGCCCCCTGGCCGATCGACGCCGCACAATCTGTAGAACATTTGCAGAGTCTCTCTTGAACTCTGACTTTCGCGAATTAATGGCTGCCCCCAGTAAGGCATAATATCTCTGGTAGAAGCACACGTTCTGCACATAAGTTTGACACTCCATATTACCGCACAGAACGGTACAATAAATCGCCCATTCCCTACATTGTTGAGCTGCTAAACGCTAGTTAAATGCAGTTCTTCCCTACTCTTACTCAAGAGGGCATAGAGTGACTGAGTGCGGCTAGCATTGACATTTACCTCTACTAGTAGTGTAAATAGGCAATTTTATAGCTCTCTACCGGTTTTGTGTGATTATTGTGTAAATTATGTATTCTAAACCATTAGTATTGTTTAATATCTAATTTTATGAATTGTAAAAACAACTCAATTCAGACTTGAGGTCTGCTAGTTGTTTAAAAAAATTGATTTATTGATTGATTGATACGAAGTTACGATATACTTGAAGACTTTTAGAAAATTTTTGAGTTACCAAAAAAATTGCTCTCATGAGATTAAATTAGAAAGATTTTACATGAAAATATCAATCAAGGGCCAGTCTTTATAGACAAGGAATAGTAACAAATGATAGATGTACTGGCTGGGATTGTGTAGAATATATTGGACATGTTGAGTGTACAGATACCAAACCGTTGTGAACGGAGGTAGAATTTTTTTTTCTAAATATGGTTGCACACCAATACTACACACCCATACACACCTATACAAGATTCTGGGATATCACATTTCTGATGTAAAATTTGAATACATAACTGAGTTGATTTTGGTCTGTACAAACACCATCTGTAAGTTTAAATATGAAACTATTGGTATAGTCTCATTGTTTAAAGTTGAATGCTTATTAAGAAATATGTAAAAATGTAATTACTGCATGTTCTTCGATGGCTTACAATGTTACTAGTCACTTATGCATTTGAATGTTATGGACAGGAATAGGTTTATAGAAGATGTTTTGCAAATCCGACTGCTCAATGTTTTAGACGTCTTATATTCCGGTAAGCGGTGACAACCTTTCAAACAAGTGATGTAGTTCACACTGCTATACCGAGATTTAGTAATATATGCTGAAAACTATCATGCATACTGTTTATATACAGGATGGAAGAAAAAAGACGGTGGGCATTTGATATTCCATTATTACCTTTTTAAGCAAATATAGCAAATAATGATAAGTTTATTGCAAATCCTTGTCCAATCGAGGGCTAACAACCGGAAAAAAATATTACTAGACTGTCAGTCTGTCTGAAATGACCATGACGTAAATGCGCAAACAACAGAATCGCTCATTTGAATTTTTTCAAGTTAAATTCAAGTCTAAAATAAACATAGTATAAAAGGACTAAGAATGAGACGAATACAAATATAACAAACGTGACTACTCTAGTGTTATACCTGGATCTTAACTTTAAATTGTGTTTGGCTTCTTTTTGAGGCAGTGGGAAAAAAAGATCCAATTTCTCTGTGTGTATTTTCACGGGTATTTTGTGATGTTAAGAGGAGAGTAGTTTTGTTTTTGTGTATTTAACGTTGAAAAATTGGGATGTCATCTAATGTAGGCCAGGCAAGTATAAGTATTGGTTCTAGTCGAGACAATGGAAACCTATTAAAATGCAAAGCACTATAGAAAATAGCATCTACAGTGACGTAGGCGAAAAATGATATACTTTTCTAGAGGTATTAATACAACGTCAAAGCAAAGGCTGTTCTCTTATAATATAATTGGTCGAGAGGCAATAAAACTAGCTCGAAGTACGCAGGTTTTCTTCACAATTTCTTTTCTTTTAATAGATGATATTTGGGTTCAAGTTATGTTTACACACAACTCAAACACACGCACACACACACACACACACGTGCGTAAGCTATTGAAAGCATAACCTTCTTGGCGAAAGTAACAATCATTCTATATAACGGTACGTCACAGAAATTTGAAAAAATTTGTTTCAATGATATTAAGTGTCTGTACAATATACAATTATGGATGCAAATTTTTTTGGCCATTTGAGAAAAGTAAAACTGCATTGTGCCGTCAATTTTCCGGTCTTTTTTAGAAGTAGTAGTCGAATCAACCGCACCCAATAGCATACTGCAATCAATCGGTGGTTAGGGTTGTTGCCTTAGAATCTAAACATTCCAAGTTTGTAGTTCTGCTTTTATATGTAAAGTAACAAGAAAGAAACATCCTGCAAAGTTACATTTTGCTCCTATTTCTTTTTAAAAATCACTACCTACATGCATCATCAACTTGAATCGTGGGCGACGTTGTCGTTTCTATCTGCATGCAGCCTAGACTCATCGCTGAAAGCAATCTTGCATAAATCATCAGGTGATATCTACGCTGGAGTGCAGACTCATCACAGAAAGCAAGATTGCTCTTCGAATTGAATTTCAGAATCATCTTGGAGTTGACTTTTGACCTAAGTAAATGAATTTTTCATGACATCTTACGTACCTGTCGCAAGTCTAGATCTCTTTTTCCCGAGTTTCAAAGGCTGTCTCCCCGGCGGCGGTAATTGTCGAAATTTATCACTAAAATAAAAATAGAAGATTTCCATTCTGTTGCTCCTTACATTGCTCAGACGATAAGTTAAATGGAAGAAGAGTCTAGCAGAGAAAGCAGAGTTCATAACAAGATGACGTCCCCTTTACACCAATATGTCAACAAAGGTAAGTTATAACCTTTTGTTATGTCCATATTTTTTGGAAAAATAACCTATGTATGATATGATTCTCCCACTTACGTGTAAAGTTATAATTAGGAAAATCTATTCTAGTGTAAGAAGACTCCGATTACATAATAATGATATCTTAAAGAAATGATACATGGCGGACGATGGGATCACTAAAGAATGTACTCCCCAATGCAGGCAGCAACATGGCAGGTTTGTGTAGAAACGTGGGGTATGTGCCTGGTGCACCACGAAAATACGAAAAAGAAGGTAACGTACGTTGGACCTGTTTAAATCCCAATGGTGTCACAGGCAAGAACATACAACGGTAAAAAATGTACAGAACGCATACATGATAGCCATGTTTAGTCATGCATACTTATACATTTACATGCACAAATAAAATGATGATGATCGTCATACATTTATGATCAATTTACAAAAATACTAGCGAAATAGCCTGCTAGCCGCTTCCTAGGCAAGCAAAAAATATTTCATGTTCTCAATATTATCTTCATCTGATAGTAATCTAAGTTGACAAGTATAGGTTCTACATCAAAGCAACGTGTGCTTTATTAATTATAATTGCCTATTTAAATAATTACAACCAACTACAACCTCCTGGCCTGGACTTTATATCAGTGTCCTTCTTTTAATAAGAGAACAAGAAAACTGCACGTGACCATAACAAATAGAGATATGATAACAAACATCAGTTTTTGGCTACACATAGGATGCACCACCAGTGCTGCAAACATTTTTGGAGGCCAAAAACGAAACAAGTCTCAACGCTCCCTCCTACTCCGTGTTATCGCCATCGCTGTTCCAGTAGCACATCTGTTGGGAGTAGGAGCTTGTGTCTTCATGTATCTTAACTCCATAGAGAACAAGGTATCAGTTCTAGCATCCGCTTTTAACTTAGATTCAATGTACTTAGTAAGTTAATGCCATTTCTGCAACAATATCAAAAGTAATAGCACTTACTGTAATCATGGCACCACCCCATGCCCTATTCATTGGATAGTGATTTTTAACTGTTAAACAATGACATGATCTCTATATGTAGTATACTTTATTAACTGTATTATATTCACATATTTTAATCAATATCAATCACATATTAAAACAGCTTTAAAATTGTACATCAGTCTGTAATATTAAAGACACATAATACAGTTACATGTAAAACACTGTTCGTGGGAAAAACTCTAATGTAAAAGCTCAAATGCTATAATAGCTATATTGACCTTTTACATCAGAGTTGATTTAAGTTTTAATTGCATAGCTTTCATTGTTTAACAATTTGGTCATATCTTTTGCAGAACGCTGACCCACCTATTAAAGAGTCTCCAAACAAACGTATGCCGAATAGTTGCATGGTGTCACCGGCACTGTCAAAGATGACTCCTGCACAGGCCTGGCTGGTGACTACCCTACCGGACAACACAACTGAACTGCCACAGATGACAGACACACAGCCAGACCAGTCAAAGTCGCTGCCAGGAGTGATATCAACCGACAAAACAGGCATATCAACCAACGTAAGTCTAACTTCAATATCACTACATTTCTTCTTTTTCATGGCTTCTTTCTGCAATTGGTACAACAAATGAAACTGCCTTAATTACAGTGACCTAATCACATCAAAGCAAACCTTACATTGCGAATAAACAAATACAAAACAGATGAGAGGATATCAAAACAAATAATGTAGCTTGAAAAATAAATTCGATAGTTTCCTGTAGGATGAAGGAATGTATTGCACAATTATGCTATGCTTTTTTCCCTTTATCATTAATACCATCGTTACTCATTGTTCCATCTTTTCTTTGTGTATGTATGTAAAATCATACATTGAGTTTTTGAATTAATAGAAACTTTAAATTCAGTATTTGTTTAGTTTCCTCCACAGTTGATCCTGGAGACTGCACCTCTAACTACTGAGAAAGATTGGACATTTACACGTCCACTACCCATACACGGCGACACATTCGACAACACAAACGGTTAGACATGCATATTATACATTAACCTTTTAAGGATTGTTATTACAAACAATACATTAAATATAAATATAATAAAACCACATGCACTTTCCACCGAAGGAAGTTTGCGAAAAATAAAGAAGGAATGTGTTAAGTTGGTAACTTCGGAAACTTGTGGAAATCTCGGTTTTCGCCCAGTGTCCTAGGACAAGCCTTCAACATGTCTGTGTAAATTTTGAAGTAAATCAGATTCAACAATTACATCATTAACTTCTGTAACTACTGAGTAAAGAGACTCTTTTTACACAACCAAGTCTTTTATTTAGCCGACGTTTTGGTGACCTGTAACCTTCCTCGGGGCAATTCTGACTGGTTCAGAATCCCTCCCAGAATGACCAGTGACGTTTGGTTGATTCTTGGTTTAACCCTCAACAGAACACCTTCCCGAACTGATAATCTGTACACCTGGGGTCCGCGCGGACCCCAGAACAGTTTTTTGCTAATTTTTAGAAATTATCAACATGCTACCAGCTCAATTGTTTTGCAGACTGATGTGGGAACCTCTGTGTCCACATTACATACAAAATCATACATTTTGAACTTTTTCTATTTTTTGGTGAAGAAAAGAAGACAAGAAGAAATACCCGATTTTTAAACCCATTTGTTTGTTTGTTTGTTTGTTTATTGGGAATCTCCATTAGTTATACAAGCTGTGTATACTAATCTTCCTTTCACATAATAAAATACATACAATTATCAACTTAATAGTTACAAAAGATTCAACAACATTATACATAACAATTGCTTAACAAGAACAATAAAAATTACTAAGTAACAGTAACTACTTATTAAATTTACTTATACTTCTAACAACAGCAAATATACAAGTTGTGGAGAGGTCAGAGGTACACCTGTGCTCCATGTGTCTTACCACCATGTGTCAAGACGCATGTGCTCGTACTTTTTACATAGTTGACTGATATTTACTTTAAATGTGCGTGCGTTTTCGGTGAGCATGTGAGGAGGCAGCGTGTTGTACGTTTTTATACTTCTGTAGACAAATGTTCTTGTTTTAGCTTTGGTCTTAGGTTTGCCTTGAACAAACGCCCCTCTCAGAGACAGTCTTGTGTTGTGATCATGTGTAGATTCAATTCGCTGCAGTTCTTTGAAGATACATTTTGGTTGCTTTGTAGTGACTATTTTGTGAAATGTACACAATGTATTACAGAAAAGTCTTTCTTTCACTGTTTGCCAGTTCAACTGAGTGTATAGGTTGTCAAGTCTGTCTTCAAAAGTGGCGTTTGTGGCTAAACTAGCTGCACGATTTTGGATTACTTGTAGTCTATCTATGTGCGTCTGTGGTGCTGATGACAATAGTGTGGAGCAGTAGTCAAGATGTGATAAGACGAGGGTTTGTATTACTGTTCTTAAAACATTTTTGGTAAAGTTTCTGACATTTCTGAAACATTTTTGGTAAAGTTTCTGACATTTCAGACTGAAGGGGCTTTTGAGGCCCAACTTTGATCTCAGATAGCGGCTAAACGGCTTGCGCTAGAAGTATCAAATTTGGAGACCTTTCCTAAAAATGTCTCCGGAAAAAAGTTCACATTAGTTTAATACTAGTAAATTGATGTTTTTTTGTGTTGCCATGGCAACGGGTTTCTAGCAGGCAGTTTTTTTTTAAATAGAAGTAATTTAATTTTGGTTTAAACATAAAAATTTTCTGAGTTTTATATTAAATTACACTTCTTTACCAACATTAATAACATCTTACATAATTAAATATAAGTTAAATCATTTAATATGCATAGAATATGCTCATTTGATGACGTCATTTGTCAAAATCCAATATGGCGGAGTATATTATTAGCTCTGACGTCAAATGACGTCATAATTACACAAAAGTTATTAAAATTTAATTCTATTACTACAACATTCTCTGAAAACTTGGAAGACATACGATGAGTGCATAAAAACATATAAAACGGAAATAAGGTAATGTATAAGAACGCCAGTGTATCGAAAACCGGCTGGGGTCCGCGCGGACCCCAAAAGAAAATTAGATATACTTTTCTTTTTATAAATGGTAGAAACGGAGTTTTCTGCACTGTATTGAGAGACAACTTTGTGGGTGACAATTATCTTAAATGTCAGAAAAAAATATTTAGAAACAAAAAAGATATTACAGAATATATAGTGCTGGGGTCCGCCCGGACCCCAGGTGTACTGTTTAGGGTTAAAAACCGTTTCCTCCGTGTGGTATGAAGGGCTAAGCTAAAGTAATAGATATCAATCTCACATTGCTTTCCGTTGTTCTTTTCAGGTCCCCGCTGCAAAAACAGCTACAGACTCGTCGTCGGGACCTGCATCAAGCTCGTTGGCATGCCGGGCATAGACTGGATGTTCGGGAAATCCCATGATGGGGCAAAGGAGGCATGCAGGAAGGAAGGAGCTACACTGGCCATGCCGAAGACGAAAGAACTGGACGTCGCACTGAGAGACCTGGTCAAACGGGGTGGATTCAACAAGGAACACTGGATCGGTATGGAGAAGAAAGGGGGTATCTGGTATTGGATGGACGGGTCGAAGGTCGGCCACAACGGGTACAAGGTATGTTGGTACGACGTGTTTATCACTGATAGAGGATTACGCAAAATATCTTGCCTCTAATATCATAAGGCTGTCTGAATGCCTCTCGATCGTACACTTTTAAGTTAGACTCATACATGTAACCAGTGATCTCTATGCGTTTTAAAATGAAAACAAAATGCACCCGGGTACCAAAAGGTAACTAAGGTATTACAATGCATGCAACAGTTCAGCTTATCTCCTTTTAAATTTTTCATATCTATTCCAATTACTCCGTACGCAAATACGGTTGTCCCTTTGACATTTTAAAACTCTCTTATTGTTCGAATAGGGATGGAATCCAGGCGAGCCAGGCGGGTGGTCGTGTGGACACTACTGGGCAAAGGTCAGTAATTTTGAGCGAATGCAATTAATGATGTTGGCGTTTTAGAGCTGGATGCTACAGTTAATTTGTCTCTTTCTCTTCATTTTGTTCAAACTTAGACTCTTTACTTTAGAGCTGGATGCTACAGGTAATTTGTCTCTTTCTTTTTATTTTGTTAAAACTCAGACTCTTTACTTAAGAAGATTCATGTCTGTTTGAATGTAGTATTCAGGTAGTTGCTTTGAGGGCCATTTGTGTGTATTTAGATGAATTTCTTGATCCTTAGTTCCGGGCAAAATTTGGTAACTATTGGCAATTTAGAGATCAGAAGTTTCATCTCGAATAGCGCCTGAACGGCTTTCGCTACTCAAATTTGGTGACTTTTCCTACAATGTTTCTAGCAACAATTTCATATTAAAGATATATGTTAAGAGATTTTGGCGTTGCCACTCCAAAGGTTAATCACAGTCAGTTTTTGGAAAATTCAGTAATTCTTATCTAAACATTACAATTCTTAAGTTTTATGTTCAATCGTACGCCCCTTCTAACATTAAAACATCATATATACATAAAATGTAAATTTTAAAATTATATATTTATGATTTATGCTTAGTCGATGTCATCATTGCTCAAAATCCAAGGTGGCAAGATAATCACTTTCATCGCAACTCCGTATTCTCTAATATAAACATTTATTAGAATGTCTTAAGGCCATTTGCATTGTGTTTTTAGGCTGTATCTTGAAACTGTAATTTAACCCTAAACAGTACACCTGGGGTCCGCGCGGACCCCAGCACTATATATTCTGTAATATCTTTTTTGTTTCTAAAGATTTTTTTCTGAAATTTTAGGTAATTGTCACCCACAAAGTTGCCTCTCAATACAGTGCAAAAAAACTCCGTTTCTACCATTTATTAAAAAAATTATATCTGATTTTCTTTTGGGGTCCGCGCGGACCCCAGCCGGCTTTCGATCATAATGGATACACTGGCGTTCTTATACATTTATGTAGGATGTTATAAATGTTGGAAAAGAAGTGTAATTTAATATAAAACTCAAAAAACTTTTATGTTTAAACCAAAATTACTTCTATTTTCAAAAAAACTGCCTGCTAGAAACCCGTTGCCATGGCAACATAAAAAACATCAACTTACTAGTATTAAACTAATATGAACTTTTTTCCAGAGACATTTTAGGAAAGGTCTCCAAATTTGATGCTTCTAGCGCAAGCCGTCTAGCCGCTATCTGAGATCAAAGTTGGGCCTCAAAAGCCCCTTCAGTCTGAAATGGGTTTAAAAATCGGGTATTTCTTCTTGTCTTCTTTTCTTCACCAAAAAATAGAAAAATTTGAAAATGTATGATTTTTGTCTGTAATGTGGACACAGAGGTTCCCACATCAGTTTGCAAAACAATTGAGCTGGTAGCATGTTGATAATTTCTAATAATTAGCCAAAAACTGTTCTGGGGTCCGCGCGGACCCCAGGTGTTCAGATTAATCAGTCCGGGAAGGTGTACTGTTGAGGGTTAAAAAAAATCAAGATTGTGACGATCCAAGATGGCGCACAGTTAAAATATGCATGGTGTCATATTATAACGTCAGTTGAACACTACTGTTGTTGCCAGGGGCTACATAAGTCTTATTGTGCCTTAATATTCTATCACAGACAATTTTCAAAAGGTTGGTTGTATTGCCCTGAGGTTTACAAGAAAGCCCATTTTGAAGGTTTAGCCCGAGAAATCGCATAAATTACGTCATAATGACACAAAAAGTTGTTGTTATGATTCAATTTTTACTAAAATAGCATCCTCAGAAAATTTGGTGAACCTACGATCAGTATTAGCCGTCGTCTCTTGCGGACGGGGTAAGTTGCTGCACAACTGTATTCCACAGTGATCTGTCAGTCAGGGTTGACTTAAGATATCCTTTAAGTAGTTGCTGAGTTACAGGGGGCAGGCGTCAAAAGCTCCGCCCCAGCATATTAAGATAAATGCCCGATCTGAATCAGTCTCAAACTCGATAAGCTGACTTTGGACACTTTTTTCTTACATAATTCCCCTGGATTAAACTCCCAAGCCATCCGGCTGGCTCTTCTCGGGGTCTGGATACCCCATGTGGGACGACGATGCTTGCTTCAAAAGGAAGAGATTCATCTGTCAGCGTCCTCCAGCCTAAATGGAGAAATTTCAATATACATTCTGCCCAACATTGCAGCATATGAAATTTTACTGAACATGTGTTTTAATTTCTAGCGTAGCAAGGGGTGTCAAGGTATAGCGAGGTGGAGAAAGGATAAATATCCTTTAATTGTTGACGCCATGCTATAAAAATGGCAACCTTTGAGCCCACGCTAACGGAAGTTGGACTTCATTATGTTACGATTATAAACAGTAGACTTACATGTACATACAATAATGCACATACATTGCAATGGTGCACAAACATATAAAGTGCATATTGGCCCATGCAATGTTATGTAGGTCGGCCTTTTTATGAGCGAGCTAAGCCTTGTAAAAGATACGAAGTTACAATATATTTGAAGACGTTTACAAATGTTTTAAATTACCAACAAAATTGCTGTCTTTAGATTGAATTAGAGAGATTTTACATAATTGATATATCAATCAAGGGTCAGTCTTTATACACAAGGAATAGTAACAAATAATAGATGTACTGGCTGGGATTGTGTAGAATATATTGGACATTTTGAGTGTACAGTTGCCGATTGAAACCATTGTGGACGGAAGTAGAAATTTTTTTCTAAATATGGTTACACACTCATGCTACACACCCATACACACCTATACAAGATTCTGGGATATCACCTTTCTGATGTAAAATTTGAATACATAACTGAGTTGATGTTGGTCGGTAAAAACACCATCTGTAAGTTTAAATATGAAACTATCTGTACAGTCTCACTGTTTAAAGTTTAATGCTTATTAAGAAATATGCAAAAAAATTACTGCATGTACGTCGATGGCTTATAATGTTACTAGTCACTTATGCACTTAAATGGACAACAATAAGGTTTTAAAAAAGAGGTTTAAAAAATCTGACTGCTCAATGTTTGAGACTTCGCATATGCCGCTAGCGCTGACAACCTTTCAAAGAATTTCACACTGCTATACCGAGATTTAGTAATGTGTTCTGATCATTCTAAAAATTATAATGTATACTGTTTTATCTACAGAAGGGAAGAGTAAAAGACGGTGGGCATTTGATATTCCATTATTGTCATTTATACAACCACATAACAAATAATGATAGGTTTAGTGCACATCCTTGTCCAATAGAGGGCTAACAACGGAAAAAATGACTATTACTAGACTGCCAGTCTGTCTCAAAAGACCATGACGTAACTGTGCAAACCAACAGAATGGCTCAGTTCCAAATATTACGGGTCAAATTTGAGCCTAAAATCAAGATAGAAAATGGACTAAGAACGAGTATAACAAATATAACATATTTTTACTCTAGTCTTATAGCTGGATTTCAATTCTAAATTGTGTTTCATTTCTTTATCTAAGGCAGTAGAAGACAAAAGATCTGACGTTTTCTGTGATGTGTGTATTTTGTGATGTTAAGAGAAGAGTAGGGTTTTTGTGAACTTAATGTTGAAAAATTGGTAAAGGCATTTGTTTGATTCTTTAATAATGTAGGTCAGGAAAGTATTATAATTGGTTCTAGTCGAGCCAATAGAAACCTGTAAAATGCCGAAACACTATGGAAAATAGCATCTACAGTGACGTAGGCGAAATATGAGCTCCTTTTCTAGAGATATTATCAAAAGGGCAAAGCAAAGACTGTTCTCCTGATATATAATTGGTCGTAGGCAAACAATTAAACTAGCTCGAAGCACGCAATTTTTTCTTGTCAATTTCCTTTCTTCCAGTAAGTGATACTTGGATGCAGAACGACAATTATCTATCATGAGTTATAATGTTTACACACACACACAGGTAAGCTATGGAAAACATAATAATCTTGGCTAAGGTAATAATCATTAGATAACTGTAGGTCATAGAAGTTGTCAAAAATTTTGTTTTAATATTGTGAATGTACAAATTACAATTAAAAATGCACATTTTATTGGCTTTGTTAACAGTAAAGTACTAGTACAAATGCGAAGACAGAGAACTTTACCATGCAGGTCTTTTTCACCATACAAGAATGTCTGTATTATTTTTATTCTAAGAGTGACAATTTTGGTTTGCACTTTATTTGCTGCAAATCACCCAAATGATTTCAAGGTAGTAGAACTGCATTATCAAAGTCAAATTGCTCGTCTCTTTTAAATATCGTAAGTTGAATCAACCGTATATATCCCATAGCATGCTACAATTCAAAGGTTCCAGGTTCATACTCATAGTTCTATACTGTCATGTAAAAAGAAACCTTTTGTAACATTTTGCAACTATTGCTTTGTAAAAAGTCACTACCTACATGTATTATCAACTTCACCCGTGGGCGAGGTCTATCTTCAGTCCAGACTCATCGCTGAAAGCAATCTTCTTTTTTGGAATGAATATTAATTTATTGTAGAAAAGCGTCCGGTGATATCAACTCGGAGTGCAGACTTATCATTGAAAGCAAGATTGCTTTTCGAATTGAATATGAGAATCTTTTAAGTGTATCATCTTGTATCATGAACTCTGCCCTGACTAAATGAATGTATCATAAGATCTTACGTACCTGATTAGTCTAGGCAAGTCGTTGAAACTCGGCTCTGCTACTGTTTCCCGGGCGTCGGTACAGTGACTATTGTCAGAATTTATCACTAAAATAAACTTAGAAGAATTCAATTATTTTGCTCCTTAAATTGCTCAGAAGATGACTGAAGAGCATAGCCAGGAAAGTGAAGTTCGTAACACGATGACGTCCCCTTCGAACGAAGATGTCAACAAAGGTAGGTTATGACCTTTAATTATTACGTATATATGATTCTCCCATATACGTATATAGCCCACAGGCAAACTGTAATGTATTAATTTAGTAAGATAAACTTTCATCTTGTTAAATTGTCATTGTAGTTTTGATAGGTATTTGTGTTATTAGTCTATTAACCCATCTATACCAATGTGCATATTTGACCAAAATTTTATGCAACTATTTTTCAACATAGAGATTCTGGTTTCACGAAATATTCTTGTTGTCTCAAAACCCGTTTCCTCAGATTATTTCACATTTATCTTGTTCTGTGTTAAAAAAACTGAACTTATGTTGGAAATTTGCACCACAGATACGGAGAACGTGGTTGAGCTACCTTCCATCGATCACAACTATGAAGCTATAGACAACGACATAGAACAAGATGAAAACCTGAATGGACCACACAATGGTGAGCAGACGAGTGTCGCTACACCGCCTGCTGGTAACAACATCGGTGATCCACTCGACAACGCACTGCACGCGCCTGGTCAACCACAACAAAATAAGGACGGAGGTACGTTCTGCTGTTTGTATTCTTTTACTCTGCAACTTTTCGTTTAATCCATTGGTTACATTTTCATTGCTGTATATCATATACAATTAAATTTATTCTATTCGGTAGTGAGGAATGTGTATCGAACATGTTTCTTTATCATTCATTTCTTTGAATGTTCTAATTATAAAAAGGTATGAATGCTATTCAATTTGAAAGTTAAGCTTTACATATAGCTGGCAATGAAGTAGTGAGAGATAGACATCTACTTAAGACTACGGAAAAGTTATAATTATGAAAATATATTATAATGTGAGCTTTTCTTCAATAACATGGCAGGCTTGCGTAGAAACGTGGGGTATGTACCTGGCGCACTACGAAAAGACGAAAAAGAAGGTAACTTATGTTGGACTTGTTTAAATCCTAATGGTGTCACAGGCAACAACATACAACGGTAAAAAATGTACAGAACTGATATATGATAGCCTATTTAGTTTTGCATACTGATACATTTGCATGTACAAATAAAATGGTGATGATCGCCATATATTTATTTTCAATCTACAAAAATACTAGCGAAATAGCCTGCTAGCCGTTTCCTAGGCAAGCAAGAAAGATTTTATGTCCTTAATATTATCTTCAGCTGATTGTTATCTAAGTTTACATGTATGCTATATTAGGTTCTACATCAAAGCAATTTTGCTTTATTAATTATAATTGCCTATTTAAATAATTACAACCAACTACAGCCTCCTGGTCTGGAATTTATATCAGTGTCCTTCTTTTGAATTAGAGAACAAAAAAAAAATGCACGTGACCATAAGAAATAAAGATATGATAACAAACATCCGTTATTGGCTACTCACAGGATGCACCACCAGTACTGAAAACATTTGGGGGCGCCTAAAGAGCTACAAATGCCATCGCCCCAGCCTACTCTGTGTTATCGCCATCACTGTTGCAGTAATCGCCCTGTTGGGAGCAGGATTTTGTGTCTTTATGTATCTCAGTTCCATGGAGAACAAGGTATCCGCTTTATGGGATCAGCTTCTTATCTTAGATTCAATGTGCTTAGTAAGGTGATGCCATTTCTGCAGCAATATCAAATGTCATATACTACTTACTGTAACCATGGCAGCACCCCATGCCGTATTCATTTGATGATGATTTTTAGCTTTTAAATGATGACATGATCCCCATATGTAGTAGACTTTATTAACTTTATTATATTTTTGCGGAATTTATTAATCGGCACTGTACGTACACGTATGTAAAAAACTCTGATGTAAATGCTCAACTGCTAAACTATAGCATTTTACCTTTTACATCAGACTTTTGTGAACGATCAGTGTTTTCATTGTATTATAGCTTTTACTGTTTAACAATTTCGTCGTATCTTTTACAGAACGCTGACCCACCTATTAAAGAGTCTCCAAACAAACGTATGCTGAAAAGTAGTATGGTGTCACCGGCGCTGTCAAAGATGACTCCTGCACAGGCCTGGCTGGTGACTGCCCTACTGGACAACACAACTGAACTGCCAAAGATGACAGACACACAGCCAGACAAACCTATGCTGAAAAGTCGCATAGTGTCACCGGCACTGTCAAAGATGACTCCTGCACAGGGCTGGCTGGCGACTACCTTACCGGACAACACAACCGAACTGCCACAGATGGCAGACACACAGCCGGACCAGTCAACTTCGCTGCCAGGAGTGATCTCAACCGACAAAACAGGCATATCAACC